CAGAGCTGGTTATGGTGGCACAAGGCATTATCATGTTCTACCTTTTTTCTCCATCATCTTCAGAATGGTAGCCTTACAGCCTCAGGGAGGCACTTTATATAGACTACCATGTAAACAGTTCTTCCCAGAGCTGTGCAACATGAATCCCTGTTGAGGATAATGCATCCTTAGTGTCTCAGAATGCTCCTGGAGCTTCTTTCATCTCCCCTATGTTTCACTCTATAGGGATGGCAAAGGGATGTTTCTTTCAGCTAAATCTTCTCCTTTGGAGCAACCATCTTAGTTTCTGACACTTCAACTTCCACCTACATTTCACTGGCAAGAATTTAATCACATGGCTTCATACATGTACAAGGGATCCTGGGATGTACAGGATAGTCCTTTACCTAATACATTGCCATCCCAAATAAAATTGTCTCTTAACTGAGACAGGAGGGAAGAATGAGTATTGGGTGGCAACTGTTAGTTCCTGTCATAAATATCTATGCACTTAAAAATGTTAGGAACTGGATATAGAGCATCACTGAGTTTTAGACTGAGGTATGGGAGGGAAGAACCACTTATTTTTACCATCTTTATAAGTATATATTGATTATTTTTCTTTATTAGTTTCTGTAGGTTTTTCCATTTTATTTGAAAACATCGCCTAGAAAAAAACAGCATGATTTAAGTGTCATTAACATATGACTGGCTCCTGAAAGGTATTACTTTCAGTTAGTTCAGGCAAGTAGCTTATCCTAAAAATTGTGCATACCAAATGCTACTCCAGTGATCATGATGTTTTGACAAACATGGGGTTGATGATTTATTTGTAGGAAGTATTTCTTTCAGACAACTAGTAAAGTGATTAGCTGCACTGACAATTGCCTTTCTAAAATCTTCTCACCCATCCATATGGGTTGATATAAAAGGAAAAGCAGGGATGGGCACCAAAGCCTATTTAGAACCAAAGAAAGTAGCAAGAGTCACCAATTTCCCTTATTCTCCCATTTCTAGTTATAGAGTAAGATATTTTTAAGGCCTGGAATTTTCTCTTCAGGTTTTTTGTACTTGTGTCCTCTCTTAAATCATAATTTGATTGCACTACTCCCTAGCTTCCACTTCTTCAAGAGGAGAATCAAAAGGGATAGGCCTCCTTTCCAGAAAAAAGAAAACAGTATTTGCTGCCTAGCAGTTTTGCCAGGGCCAGGTCCCTCTTCTGGTGTTGGCTTCTTGCTCTCATCTAAAGCAGTTTGCTCCTCCCTACTCCATTTCTTTCAAAATGAGAAGCTGGAAAGCCTATCTTTCAGAGGCCAAATTACTCCTTAGACTCCATCAGGGAGGAGGAAGCATAATTCTGAATAATACTTAATATTAATTTTTAAAAGTTCAATATGAATTACCAAAGTATTTTTGTGGCCAGATCTTAATGATAATTTACCCAACTTCAGGTAAAACTCAAAGCAGTGTATAGTTAGTGGGATTTTTATTTCTTTTTCCAAGGTGAGATAATCATTTTGTCTTCTGAACATTACTTGCATGCCATTAAATTTTCAGCTTTTAAAAATTACCAAACAATATATTCAATAAGCCTCTTTATGTCATTTCTGAGTGTCTTTCTTCTGTGGACCCTTATTAAAATAGCTTTGTCAGAATAACCCTGGAGTCAAATGGATTAAATCAAAGTACGATAGAGCTTTGCACACCCTTAGCTTATGACTTTTTTTTATACCATTAAGGACCTCCCCTGCTGCCTTCTCAGCAGCATTCTGGCTCATAGTGTAACCCAGAACTGGATTTTAGATCCCTGAAAGGAATACCTCAGGACTAGCATCTTACTAATTGCCTAGGTAGCTTGTTAAAAATGAACAGATTTCTGTGTAACACATGCAGGGTCAGTCAGTTCAATATATGGAGTCTGGGAATCCATTTTTATTTATTTTTTATTTTATTTATTTTTAAGATTTTATTCATTTATTCATGAGAGAAATAGAGAGAGAGGCAGAGACATAGGCAGAGGGAGAAGCTGGCTCCTTGCAGGGATTCTATCCCCAGACCTGAAGATCACACCCTGAGCCAAAGGCAGACCTCAACCGCTAAGCCACCCAGGCATCCCCAGGAATCCATTTTTAATAAGCTCCCATAGTACAATGCAGCCAGATTTTAGATACCACTGTTCCTAGGGGAATCAATCTGGCCACCTTCCCCCCCCCCCCCCCGCCCCCTATGGAAGTCCTCTTTCTGCCCTCATTCTCACTTCATGGGTTATCCTCCTCCTCCTTCCCTGCACCCCCACCCCCCAATAATCACATGTGTTTCACCAAGTGCACTGACTTGCATAGTGTGAAGTGAATATTTTATTGGAAACCATGCAGAGCATTAAGAAAAAATATCAAGGAAAGTTTATAGCAGCAAAAAGACTATAGCTAGAAAGTAGTGAAATCCCTGGGGAAGTTGAAAGGGAGAGAGTGCCTAATTTACATTGTTCATCTCTTCTGTTGATACTTACCTACATTACTTTAGCATAGTCTCTGGATCAGCAGCATTACTCTAAGTGCTAGGACTTTGTTAAAAATGCAGATTCATAGACTCAATCCCATATCCAAATCTGAATCTCTAGAGTTGGGGGTTCAGCAATCAACATGTTAGCCTGTCCAGGTAATCCTAATGTAGGCTCAAGTTTGAGAACAACTCTTTAGCATATAGCCATTCACTCTCTCTAGTAACATTTTTCCATAGGATATCTGTGCCCCTGTTCAGCAGTCACTCCTGGTTAATATAAAGAGTGAGGTTAACTTAGACTTGGGCAGAGATTGGATCCTAGATATCCCCTAGGCAAACACTCCTCTCACCCTTCCCAAGTGGCCTCACTTTGTGGAAAATACTTTTACTCTTCTTCCCAAAGCTCTAGCCTGCTTAAAAGTTCATCCTTCCCTCCATTTTAGTTTCTTTTTTTTTTTAATTTTTATTTATTTATGATAGTCACACACACACACACACACACAGAGAGAGAGAGAGAGAGAGGCAGAGACATAGGCAGAGGGAGAAGCAGGCTCCATGCACCGGGAGCCCGACGTGGGATTCGATCCCGGGTCTCCAGGATCGCGCCCTGGGCCAAAGGCAGGCGCCAAACCGCTGCGCCACCCAGGGATCCCTCCATTTTAGTTTCTATCTTTTTATTACCCTCAACCAGTCTTTTGAGGAATAGCTAGACAGCATATAGGATCCCAAAAATAAAAAGGATATGCATTCAACAAAATGCCATATCTAATACAAAATGTAATTCTGAATAACATCTAATGTAACCTGCTTCTGAGGCTTATGATCTTTTAACTAAAGGAATAGTGAAAAGAAATGATTATACTTATTAATGTTTATAGATTATTTTTATAACAATAATGTTTATACTTATATAGTATATAAAACTGTGAATTATGCATTCACAGAAAGCATAATTAGTGTAGCCTATCATTTTCATGAATGCAAGCCTCAGATTCTGCTCTTAAATGACTGTTTCTTTATTGTTGGTTTAATGAGTCATCTCTCCGACTAAACCTGTTCTTTCTCTTGGTACTACTTAGAACCTGAATTTGAGATGAAGTAAAGGGCTAAGTTGTAGGAACAAATTCTGAGATTATACAATCCTTGCAGTAGATTCAAGACATAGACACTATGCTAGTTTTGAAAGTTGGATTTTTCTTCTAATTTTGTATCTCTAGTACCATCATAGTCATTTCTGTTGAGCCATATTAGATGAGCAACTAAGATTATGGTACTCATTGATTTGAGGTAAATTTTTCTAATCATTCATAAGAATAAATCATTATTTTGTATTCTAGCGGCTTTAAGAAGTTAGGTAATCATGTATTTTAATAGCATTCTGTGGTTTCTAAAACATATATATTTTTATTTATGTATTTCTTACAACAACTCCATGAAATAGGAGAGTGTACAGAATCTCATTTTTCAGATTTGCAAACTTAGGCTCAAAGTTGCCCAAAATCACAGTCAATAATTTATACCCAGATCTTTTGATTCTGGGTCTGTTTGTCTACCAAATTAATATATTCAGTGCCATAAATATTTAATTATATAATTACTTTATTTCATAATAAGAATGCTTTTAACTCTTGACAATCCTCCATTATATTCCTTTTATCTGAGAACATAAAGCATCTCAGATATCTAATTTAACATCTTTGTTAATTTAGAATTATATGGCCTCTTAGGATCATGTTTATGTCTATTAAATTTCTGTAGACTCTTCTAGAAATACAGGAGATGTAGATTACTTGACTGGAACTATATCACTGATCCTAGAATATACCCCAAAATAAAAGTTGTGTTCATGGATGAGATTCAGGATTTCTAAGTGTTCTGAAATATATGGAAAATTTTGGGTGTATATTCTGGGAAAGTTTCCATTGATGATATTAGTTTCTCAAAGAGGTCCTAAAGAGAATCCCAAAAAGGTTAAGAACACAGTGACCTAAATAATTATTTTTTCCCCTTTTTTTTTTTAGGGGGTGGGGTGATGGACCTCATATAATAGAGAAATGCCAGTTACATGAGAAATGTATTAGTGATAATTTGGTTTTTCTAGTGTAACTGTTAAATGAGAAGAAAAATGCTTAATGACATAAAAAGATTTATTAGAATTTGAATAACCAGGGTTTCTTTTTAAACATTTAAATTCTAATTTCTCAACTTAAATGATTTTCCCAGGAATATTTAGTGACATTCATTTGCTGGCTATGATGTACAGTGGAGAAATGTGTTACTGGGGATTAAAGTATTGTGCAGATCAACAGCCAGAAAATCACGAAGTGGATTCTGGTGTTTCTGGAGCAAGCTATATGACACAAAAAGAACCCTTGGATTTCCGAGAAGTAGGAGAAAAAATTTTGAAAAAGTATGTATCTGTGTGTGAAGGACCCCTGAAAGAACAAGAATGGAATACAACAAATGCAAAACAAATTTTAAACTTCTTTCAGCATCACACTAACCAGTAAGTTCATTTATTCCTTTTCAAACAGGAAAACAAACAAAAAAACCCCATGAAATGGAAATCTTCCAGAAAAGAAGATATATTGACACTGAGTTTAAGAATGTTACACTACATAAAGATATCCAATGTGGTTTCCTGTTTTTAAATGCCATAAGCATCTTTCAGTATATATTTTTAAATCTATGAAGGAACGATTCTTTAATTTTTAAGATGACATGTATGTTATTCTAACTCAGCCTGAACTGCAGATATTCTATAGCTAATACTAAGTAGGAATTCAGTGTAGCTTTACAAATTTTTTTATTACTAGTTAGGTTTTTTTTTTTATTGTGACATAAAATTGACCATTTTATAGATTTTCAGATTATTTTAAAATCTATTTTGAAGTTTGCTATGCTTCAAAGATTAAAATCAAATCACTTCATTGCTTTAGATATATGCTGTGGATATAAAAATTGGCAAAATAAAAAATTACAACTAGTATTCAGACTCCATTTCCAGAATAAGATAAATAGAAAGATGCCGCAAAACAAATGTTTCATTTTTTTAAATACCATTACTAATGGCATTTACAGTTTTTATGCTATTGGCATTATATAAAAATTTTCAAGCAATTTTCCTATTTTGTTTAAAAGAAAATGGGTGGTTTATCAAATGAGTAACGAAGATGAAACCAAGTTAGGTTAGTCCATCATTAACTCATATGTGTTTAGAATGTACCTTTTCATATATATTGACAGTTTAATATTTTTGTCTTTAATAGTAGAGATGAGTGATAAAGGCCAGAGAACCTAACTTGCTCTCTTGCTCTCAGTATTTCTGTCTACCTCAACTCCTATGTCATCTTGGGATGATCCTAATACCTTGCTGATATCCTTGACTTCTGCTCCTATGAACTTCATCACATTCCAGAACTTACTCCCATGGCTACACTTTGAATGAATATCACCATCCTGAGTTGCTCTTTCTGAAATCTTAAATTTCAGTAACTGATGACAATTCACATCCTCCTAGCTTTGTACTTTTTTTTTTTTTTTTACTTTTTTCTCCTTTATTTCTGTGCATCTCTTCAGCTTCACAGCCCCCTTCTTTGGACTGTTCCTCTTTGTCCTAAACCATCAGCTTCTTTCAGATTTTCTCCTTGCTGATCCAGCCTCATCCTTATAGGGGACACCACAATCCCTTCAGGTCCATTGTCCCTTTGTCCTTCAGTCTAATCATTCTGCAAATCTCAGCATTGAATTATTCCTGTCACCCATCTTTTTTGGAATGTTGCATCCCGTATGAAGTACGTGCAGCCCTTCAAAGTGCAATCCCTATAAGTATCTCAGCTTTAATTTTAGGAGAATCCTCAGTATAAGCCTTTTGCTTTTTTCTGGTGTGACTTCTCTCCTTTTCCCATGGTGGCCAATCTAAACCTCTAACTTTCCTCATGTCCTCTGTCCCCTCCCTTAGCTTATGGCTCTTGGTCTTACAGAAGATTAAAACTATGAGGAGTTCAACTTGTATTTCCTGTCTTTGCCCTATTCATTTCCTCCATTTTTAGAAAAAAAGAGGTTGCCTGCTTCCTGTTGAAAGCCAATCTCCACCTTTCCTTATTTCCCTTGGGCTTCTTTTTTTGTTGTTGTTTTCCTGCCTGGTTTAGGTATTGTTCTTCCCTAGATATCTGTCCTTTTTCTCTTCATCCTCTCTACCTTTTCCTTTCTCTTTTTTTTACTTACTCTTAGGTGATGTTATTCCTTGCCATGGCTTTTTCTGACACCTATAATGTTCAACTGACTTCTAGACTTGGAGCTTGAATCCCAACTTCTGCTCTCTGAGCCTTCTTCCTATAACTGCCTATTAAATATATTCACTTAGATAATTTTAGTAATTTTAAATTCAGTATGTCCAAACAACTAAGCCTCATGTTTTATCTAAAATCTATTTTGGTTTATGTTTTGGTTGTTTTAATCTTTCACAGTGCAGGGCAACAGAGAATGCCATGACCTAGTTACTGTCTACCTTCCCATGTTTATCTCTGCAATGCATCCTGTGTAATCATGTTCTAGTCCCAGTGTTCCTCAAACACTTAAAACCCAGGCCCCTATTTGATTAACATTCTGATGGAGCCTCTTGGTACAAGGAAAATCTCTCCCTATCTCTGTCTCCTTGCTTCTCCATACACAACTAAGATTTTTTTTTTCACAACTAAGATTTTTATTTAACATAGCTTTTTAACAAATTTTACTATAAAATACCTTTGTGCTTTCTAAGTAATAAAGATTTAAATCATTTTTAGTATGGTCTTAGAACACAGATCACCCTCCCTCACCTTACCCTTCTAACCTTCCCCTTTTGGAGCATGGTGATCAGTTGCAAGTACTTTGGTTTCTTTTCTAACGTGCTGTGTGTTTTTCCCCTCAGTACTCTTTGCATTTATTACTTCTGCCTGGAATGCTTTGCCCTTCATTGTGGCCAAGTGAACACCCATTTATCCTTTAGGACTCAGTTCCAGTGAACCTATAAGACTTTTTTCAGCTCATTCCACTCAACAGTTTGATGTTCATTTGTTTCTGTTCCCTTAATCTTCCCTCACATGTTAACAAACAGGTAACACTGCTTTATAGTTCTTTTCTTGATGAGTTGGTAAAGTCCTTACTTAAAAAAATTTATATTTATACTTTGTGCTTAATGATGAGTAGGCCCTTAGTGATTTTTTCTTTTTTAATTAACAAGAGACCTGGTTCTTAAGTGCCGAACTCTGCACAAAAGGGTTGCTGCTTTTGGATTCCAAACTGCCACACCCTCTATACCAGTAGTTGACAAGGCAAATAAGGAATTACTCCTTAGAGGAGTAAAGTATTACATAGATTTGGAACTTGAGAAAACCGTAACTTTCTCTTCAGAAATGGGAACTTCGTTTTGCCTTCTTGACCCTTGTGAACCATTTGGGTCCCTCACTGGTTGGTGTAGTTCTGAGGGTGCTACCGGGTGCTTTTTGTACAACTTTTCCATCCCTCACATGATTGGAGAATAATTTGTAGACCATAACAGTTAAAATGCTTTTTAACTCTGGTGTATTACAAAACAAGGAACAACAGATTTTTTTTTACGCATGTGTTAAAGCCTAAGTAAATTCTTTTCATTTAGAATGAAGTATCTTCAAGATAACAAATACTCTCTATATAAGGAAAAGCACTGTAATTCCTTCATCAACAATTTATGTGCCTCTACATGCCAGGTTTCATCTTAGGCATTGATGATATAGCTGTGTAGAACACCATCTTTTGGAGTTTATATTCTAGTGGGGGAAGTTAACTCATTTTAAGAAATAAATTTATAGTGTATTAAGTGGTTAGTGCTATGAAGAATAAAGCAGGGTAAAGGGCTTGTGTGACTGGAAAGTAGTGCTATTTTATTTATGGTGGTTGAGAAGGCACCTATGTACTTTAGGATTAGTGTTTTCAAATTCTATCCCTTTGGTTAAATGCCTTGCACATTCAATACATTAATAAGTTTTCTTTCTTATGCAAGTTCTGATACAGATTAAGGTATGAGTCATTACTTAAGACGTTTTTACTTTGATTACATTTAAGATGTTTTCTCCAGTGTGGGCTTTACTAATGAGTGATCACCTAAAGGCCTCATTATGTTTATTACACTGGGGGTTTCTCTCCATTTTGAGTTCTCTGATGGTTACGAAAATGTAAACTCTGTTAAGGGATTTTTTCATAATCCTTAAATTTGTGTGGTTCTTTCCCAGTGTGAATTTTTTTTTTTTATGTTAAGTAGGCTTTGAAACTTAAAGGCCTATCTGCCTTGTGGCATTTATAGGGTTTCTGGCTACTGTGAATTGTTTGATGCTGAATAAGGTGCAAATCATGCAAGACTTTCTCTCATCCCTTTGCTTAGAGTAGAGTGAGATGAGAGTTATGGCTAAAATCCCACAATAAAATTACATTCCTACTTCTACATTTACACTCCCACTGTGGATTCTAGGATGTTCATTAATGTGGGAACTGTGTTTAAAGGTATTCTCAGATTCATTTTAATGGCATTTTTAAAAACCCACAACTGGATGACATCCAAGTTTTGGATTGATAGTCACTTTTTCTCTTGGCACTTTCCAGGGTTTCATTTCTGGCTCTAATAAGGATACCTTATCTGCAACAGAAATCCAGGATTCTGTTGTTCTCTAGTGTTATTTCCTTATATTATTTTTAACATGATATAACATGTTATTGGAAGTATTATATTAAAATACATTTAATGTATCCACAATTAAAGTATTTGTTATGTATTCATGCTGGTGTTCTAAAGTTTCTGGTTTTCCTACTTCTAGTGAAGATTTCCAAGTAAAATGTTTTGGAGCATATAAAATATTTTTTAATAAAACCATATTCCCATATATGTATCCTGTTATTTGTTTTCTTTTATATCTGAGTGTTGTATCAGAATGAAAACTTTGTTTACTATTGACATTTGAATATTATTTCTTACAGTCCTAATAACTTTCAGATAGGGTAGTATAGTGGTTAGGAATATGGATTCTGGAGCCAGATATCTGAGGCTGAAGATTAGCCTTGTCATTACCTAGGTATGTGACTCCACATAAATTACCTACCCTTTCTGTACCTTAATATCCTATTATTTAACAAAGGAATAATAATAGTACCTACTCACAGGTTATTGAAGATTAAATGAGTTAATGTTCAAATTGCTTAATTCAATTGGGTTAATTCCTAGGATGCTTAGCACATCCGAAGAGCTCAAAAGAGTTATTATTTTCCTTAAAGTCTAATTCTGGGTATCAGTTTATCATGCTGGAAAATATAATACTCATCAGTCAGAATAATTGTGTGACAATGGAGATGTATATATTAGGTGGAGATGGTAATGAAACAAGATTGATAAATTGGTAACTTGAATCAGCTAGTGGATACATGGGATTCCATTACATTATTAACTCTCCTATACATGTTAAAATTTTTCATAATAAAAAAATTATAACCCATACATTTATAAATGTTCACATTTCTTTGTAAAAGCTGAGAACCATTTCAGTACTTCATACTTGAAACACATTTTTTTTTTTCTCGTGCTAGTTCTTTCTTGCTCCTAGAAAAGGGAGAAGAAATACCATATGGTTAATCTATTCATAGTTCGTTCTTGTCTGGACAGCCTCATAGAAACAAGCTTGCAATTAATTGGATTAGTTATTGCCCAATAGCAACAGCATGCAAGACAAATAATGAAACTTTAAATTCAGATCTCAGAGAACCTCAGTTATCTGGCTTTATTGGATTTGTTACTTGACATTGAGATCCCCAGATAGTTCCTTTAGAAGTGTAAATTCAGGCCAGTAAATACTGTGTTCATTATTAAGTATTAAGCACTCTGCTTAATATATATGAAGGGACAATGTGTGCAAATAGTATAATGTTAAATATAATTGTATATTTAGATATTTATATATATATACATATAACTTACATATATGTTCCTATAGCCTATAGACTTTGTTTTATGAAGTTGCTGATCTTGTCTTCTATTTTGAAGACTAAAAAAGGATTAATTTTTCAAAGTTGATTTGGGTTATATATGACAGACTATTTTGACAATTGAGATATTAAAACAATGGTGGACGGATGCATTGATTGTGAAATTTAGAATTTCCATATTTGATACCTTCACAAAAAGAATGGATAATTGCAGGTCCTGGATATTGTATGCAATTAGTGGTTGACAAGGAGTTTAAACCAAATTATGTAGTGATCTATCTATTAATGTCCGTTCTCAAGAATGGAATTGTATTTTATTTTTTAACATTTATTTATTTGAGAGAGAGAGAGCGCACAAGTGGGGTGAAAGCACTAGGGGAGAAGCAGGCTTCCCTGCTGAGCAGGGAGCCTAACGTGGGTGGGGCTTGATCTCAGGACTCAAGGATCATGACCTGAGCCGAAGGTAGACACCCAACCTGACTGAGTTACACAGATGCCACTCAAGAATAGAATTTTTAAATCCATTGGATTGTTTTGAATGTATTTTTCTTTTTGCATGGTATAACAGATGATGCTGTCTTGCTTTTTATTGAATAATCTTAGAAACTTAGTTTTTTATAACAGATTGAAATAATCCTTTAAGGAACAGAGATGATCTGGCTTTTGAGTATTCTTTGGATTAGATCAAGGTAATCTACTTGAGAACGAATGACATATAGTACTAAATAAGTATTTGTGTCCTTCTTACCAGTAGAGATCATACCCAGTTCAATATAATTCACCTTTGTGGAAAAGAAATCCACAGGCCCCAAAAGGAATTATTTTAAGGTCCCCACTTCAGCAAACCAGGACTTCATACCTAACCTAACCGCAGTTTCAGCCTCCTCAGGAGAGTAACAGTTGTTTTTGTTTTGTTTTTTAAGTAGGTTCCATGCTGGGCATGGAATCCCACAACCCTGAGATCAAGATCTGAGCTGCAGTTCAGAGTACCATACCACACTTTGCCAATTGAGCTACCCAGGTGCTCCAAGAAAGTAACCTTTTTAACCCGTCAACATGGAATTCCTGGTTAGCACTAGGAAATTTACTGATATACCTCTCCCATTCCCCTTAGGAGCATGACCTTGTGTACAACAGTGTACTTTTTGCTAATTTTCTTTTTTTCCATTTCTTTCTGCCTTTAAAGATTTAATTTTTAAAAAATAATCTCCACACCCAAGGTGGGGCTGGAACTTCCAAACCCGAGATCAAAAAAAGTCACGTGCTTCACAGACGGAGCCAGCCAGCGCCCCTCCTCTGCTTTTGTTTTTAAATATTAAAAAATACCTATTTTAGAGGGTGAGAGGCAGAGGGAGAAAGAAACCCAAGCTGACTCCACATTCAGCCTGAGATCAGGACGCCGAGATCACAACCTTGGCCCAAACCAAGAATCTGCCCCTTAAGCAACTGTGCTACCTAGGTGCCCCTCTACCATTTTATTTTTTTATTTTATTTATTTTTATTTTATTTTATTTATTTTTTATTATTTTATTTATTTTTATTTATTTATTTATTTATTTATTTATTTATTTATTTATTTATTTATTACCTTGAAAATCCTTTCTTGTCCTGCAGCTCAGTGGAGCTCCTTTCCATCTGCTTGATGGGATGCTTGCAGTTTCATGATGTTCAATAAAGCCAATTTGATCTTTTATACTACTCCGTTGAGGTTTTGTTTTTTTAATACCTTTTAATGTGGGCTTAGTATAGTATCTTAAAGCCCTTTCAAAGTAAGGCTGGACAGTGTAAGTAAAATGGATAACTGCTCTGACAGGTCTTAAAAAACAGCAGCAGGATTTCAACAGAACCGCGTCTGGCTTCTCTTGTCCTAGCCCAATTCTGCTACCCTTTTAGGAGATGCCCACCTTCAGGAGTCTTTAAACGGGTCTGAACTTTTATAGAGAGAATGTAGACTCCTCGCCTTGGCATAAGGTCATTCGTGACTGGGCCCCTGGCCACCTCTCTGGTCTCGGTTTTGCTGCTCCTGCTCCTGAAACAATGAATCAGAGACTGAATAACAAGAAACCGCACACTGAGCACGGGCGGTGGGGAGAAGGGAGCCGCTGGCTACGGGGCCCACGAAGGTAGCGGAAGAGGGCGGAGCTGGCGAGGAAGTCGGGGTCGCCTGGGCCCAGACAGACAGACGGACCGCCTTTGGGAGAAGCACGGACGTTACAAACCTCTGCCGTGCGAGAGGTTTCACGGCACCGGGGGAGGTTCGGGGGCTTGAGGCCCGAGGTGAAGGCGCAGCTCCTGGGCGAGCTTCCAGGTCGGGCCCCTCCCGCTTCCCTTCCCGCCCGAGGGCGGCCGCCCGCCGGGAGACGTGGAGGGAGGGAGGCGGGAGGCGCGAGGCGCGAGGCGGGAGCCGGGCCGCCGGGCCGCCGGAGCGGAGCCGGGCGGAGCGGGAGCGGGGAGCGCGCGTCACCCCGCGGCGCGTCCCGGGCGGCGCCGGCGGCCATGGCTGGAAGCGAGCCGCGCTGCGGAGGCAGGTCCCCGCCGCCGCACCACAGCGACTGGGGCCGCCTGGAGGCCGCCATCCTCAGCGGCTGGAGGAACTTCTGGCAGTCGGTGGGCAAGGAGAGGGCGGCGCCCAGGGCCTCCCAGGAGGAGGCGGGTGAGGAGGCCAGCGCCCTGACGAGGCTGCCGGTGAGTGGCGGCCGCCGGCCGCGGAGGAGCGAGGGGCCGGGCCGGGTCGGGCCGGGCCGGGCCGGGAGGGGGGCGCCCCTCACGGGCGGCCTCGGGCGGGGCGGGGCGGGGCGTCGCCGCGCCGGGGTCCGCGTCGGTCGGCGTCCTGCCGCCGGCCCGGGCGGTGTCGTCACCCGGGGGCAACAGTTGGCCAGAAACGCCGAGGCGTTGACCTCTGAGGCTCCGCAGCCCGGCCGAAGGTCGCAGTGAAGCACCGTCGGCGGCCGCGGTCACGTCACCCTCGGCTCTTCTACGCCCAAAACAAGTTTTGGCTCTAGAAGCCCCCACCCCGAACGTCAGGCGAGGGAAATAGACGCCTGCGGACTTCCTGGGTGGCCCGGGAAAGCCTTCGGCGACCGTGCCCAGCGTCTTTACCTCGGTTCGAGGTGCCGAACCCCGCAGTGCGAGGATAGGGCGGCTGTTGCCTTGGCGCGTATTTCGGGTAACCCCACTCCGCTTAGGGGCAGCCCGGGCGCTCCGCGGCTCAGCGCCGCCTTCGGCCCAGGGCGGGACCCGGGTCACAGGTCGGGCTCCCTGCGTGGGGCCTGCTTCTCCCTCTGCCTGCGTCTCTGCCTCTGTGTCTCTCATGAATAAGTAAATAAAATCTTAAAAAAAAAAAAAAAAAACCCTCACATTTAATTGACAATGGCTGAGTTAAAAGCGCCTCAAGTTAAAACAAACCGCGTCACTCATTGTTAAACTTTTTTTTCAGGCAGAGGGGAAAATGGAGAGAGGAGAAATTCCTAGAAATTATTCAAATTCTCTATCTCAACTGGACTTGGCACATTCCCCTCATGTCTATCAGAGATTGGAAACTGCTGTTCTTTGAAATACGGGTTTTATGGGGGAACTCAGATGGCGGATTTACTCTTGGATTAGAACTAATGACACAATCAGAAGTTTGTCAGCTTGATAAAGTTTTTATTTTGAAGACTAGAATATTTCCTTCAGTGATTTGTTCAAACAAATGGTGTGGCAAAATACCCAGGAGGGGAAATTGAAGGACTTGGTTATTGTGCTTGAGAAATACCAGAGCAATGATTGGTCTTTAATAAATATTTCAGTGTGTCAGCAATTAAATGTTCACTATGTTCCTCTTTTGATGGCAGGAAAATAACTTCGGAATGATAGATTTAATTATGAAAATACTGTTAAGTTGATCTTTATTATCTAGTGTGATTCTTATTAATTTTGAAATTCATTATGGTATAATTAGTAAAAAGGCAAACTGCTCAGGTGACCTTTGGATCCCTGCTGTAATGGAATAATTATAACTTATTATCAGAAAACAATTTTCAAGATAAATTTTTCATCCCTCTTACGGATTTGCTGTTTCTATTTCAGATTGATGTGCAGTTATATATTTTGTCATTTCTTTCACCTCACGATCTGTGTCAGTTGGGAAGTACAAGCCATTATTGGAATGAAACTGTACGAGATCCAATTCTGTGGCGATATTTTCTGCTCAGAGATCTTCCTTCTTGGCCTTCTGTTGACTGGAAGTCTCTTCCAGACCTAGAAATCTTAAAAAAGCCTATATCTGAGGTCACTGATGGTGCATTTTTTGACTACATGGCAGTGTAAGTATCTAGGTTTATGAATTAAAAAGAAGATTCCAAATTTGTATTACAAGTCAACGGTTTAAATTAGTCTTGACTCTGCCACTGATTTATTTCATAGAATTTGGTTATAAGTGTTCTTTTATAAAATTTGGGGATTAAGTTAAATGACCTCCTTCATAGGACTCTTTCAGTTTTCACATTTTATTTGCCTGTGGTTCCTGACTCTAGAGTATTTGAATAATTATAGATAGTTCATATGCCAAGAAATAAAATAGTTCTTAAAAGTTTCGTCATCTTTAGAACATTTGTCATTTCCTTTTTCTTTTCTTTTTTTTTTTTTTTTTAATTCATGAGAAAGAGAGTGAGTCAGAGGCATAGGCAGAGGGAGAAGCAGGCTCCCTCTGGGGACCCTGATGTGACACTCAGTACCAGGACCCCAGGATCATGACCTAAGCCAAACACAGATACTCAACCACTGAGCCACCCAAGTCCCCATATTTGTCATTTTCCTAAATAGTGACTACATTTCTGTATCCAAAAAAGGAATGATCAGTGATCGGAGACCAGTTCTTTGGCAGGGAAGAAAATCATTCTCAAGGTTCTGGGAAATAAGATTTTATTATCACCCAAAAGCATTGACACTTTTAAATATCATGTAGCTGAGTGAATAGTGTTGTTGAGCAACTGTAGTATATTAGATTCCATGAGGGATGCTTTATGTTTGTTTACTTATTTAGTCATCTCCCAATAAGGGATTATCTTTGTTATAGATATGGAATTGAGGTTCAAAATGGTTATAGATTTTGCTTAAAGTCGTGTAGCTTATAAGGCACTGTTCAGATTGGAATCCTATCTTGCCACCTTAAAAACAATATAATGTCATTGGATCTGTATGTAATCTACTTCATTGAGGGCCCCAAATTTAAGGCATTGTAAATAACTTAAAAGAATATTTATGTTTTAGGTAAGAATGGTTTTGCTCTGCTAGATTTAGTACCTAGATTCAGGATTTTTTTTTCATATTTTATTTGAGTAATTCACATCTTTCCTTATTCTAATCTAAATACTTAGTCTTGTGAGACTACTTGATTAAAATGTGTGTAATATGTTATATACAATTTCAGTAAGTGCTGTTGTACTCTTACTTGCTGGTTGTTACTTCTGCATTGTCTTACATAGCCGACCATAGCATCAAATATATCATGCTGTAGAGCCAACTTTCCTCCAGGAATAGTTAATAATCATAGTAACTATTCATGATCATACGAAGTATTTTTATTGAAATATAATTAACATACAGTCTTCTATTAGTTTCAGATATATAATATAATGATTCAACAATTCTCTGCATTTCTCATGCTCATCACGATAAGTGTACTCTTAATCCTGTTTTATATCACTCACCCCCCTACCAATCTCCCCTCTGCTAACCACCCATTTGTTCTCTGTGTTTAAAAGTTTGTCTCTTTTTTCCTTTGTTCACTGTTTTGTTTCTTAAATCATAAATTTCTGATCCTTATAACCCTGGGTTAATTGTTATTGCTTAAATAATGCAGATGAAAAAACTGCTTAGCCAGATCTACCTAGCCTCAAAGTTGATTTTTTTTTTTTCCTTCTTGAATTACAAGGTTCCTATATAAACATCATTGTATTGTTAGGCTAGTAATTATCTTAACCAGCTTGATTTAGTTAAAGGGCTTTAGGTTTTATTTTGAGTACTGTGTTTTAATTTTTGATAACATGTAGAATTGGTAATTTAGTGATATATAGTTATTGAAAGAAATTGCATGGTCTTTTTCACATGGTTCTTAGTTTGCTAGATTATCTTTAAGGAACATTTAAGCCTCCCTGTATATTTAACACTTATTAAACTATTACATTTGAGACTGTTAATAGGAGTACTTAAGAAATTTGGCTATATTGGTGGCTTTAGTAATTTCTATCTTTCTTCTTCACCTCTAGAGACATTTATGCTAACTATCTATATAGTTTACTATAGGGTTTCTCAATCTTGGCACTATTGACATTTTAGACCAAGTATTTAGACCAACTCTCCTGTGTACTGTAGGATGTTTAGCAATATCCTTGACCTCTGTCCATTAGATATGCCAGCAGCACCACCCACTGACCCCCCAGTCATAATGAAAAAAATGTCTGCAGACATTGCCAAATAAATGCTCCCTTGGGGTGGGGAGGCAAAATCTCCCCAAACTGATGAGAATCACTACTCTATGTAGTGAATTTTTATGACTGAAACAAATGTTAGACCATGAGAGAAAATGTTCCATGAGAAAATGAAAGATTAGAAAGTAAATAACCACTTCCTGGGGAAGACTTCCTCAACATTTGGACCACTTCTATTCTCATTGTGCCTTTGCTTTTTCTTGTTATGACATCCGGTATACATGTTATAATGTGTATGCCCTCTACTTCCCTCCATGAGGATTGGAACTGTATTATTGTATCTCCTGTGTCTAGTATGTTCTCAATAAACTATATATTGTTAAATGAATAACTGGCTATGTTTTTTTCTGTGTTAATTTTCTAATTTGACAATTTTATACAGCTATAAGATGTGCTGTCCATATACAAGAAGATCCTTGAAATCTAGCCGTCCTATGTATGGAGCTGTCACATCATTTTTACACTCATTGATCATCCAGAATGAACCACGATTTGCTATGTTTGGACCAGGTTTGGAAGAACTGAATACATCCTTGGTGTTGAGCTTGATGTCCTCTGAGGAACTTTGCCCAACAGCTGGTTTGCCTCAGAGACAGATTGATGGTAATTTTCATGTTAATCTACAGTACATAATAACCAAAATATTTTGAGCTTGACACTAATGTTAATAGATTAATTTTTAATTAACTTTTTGATGTAATGAAATATAGTAATTTGGTAAATAGGAGCTCCTCCTCCCCAGATCCCAGTGGGCGAAAAGAATTGATTTACTTTTTACGAGAGGTGAACTTCCTCTTATTTACTCAAATTTGTGTAATATAAGATTATATGAAGGTAAGTTATATGTTATCAAGACGTTTGTACAGTACTTACATATTTTAAAAGAATATTAACAGCAAAAACCATTCAGTGTCTACCGTGGGCAAAGTACTT